TCGCATTTTCGTTTCCTTGAATATTTATTAGCTAAAACACAGTTCATCGTTACTTCTTTTCATGTTTTATACATTTTATCGAAATAATGTTACATTGAAGTTTTGTTACCCATGTTTTTGTTTCATCATATATTTCAGTTTACAAAATAATGGAAACATCAATTTTTACTTCAAAAAATCAATGTATATCGAAAAAACGATTTCATGATGTCTTTTTATAGTAAAAAAAGGTAATTAAAACGACTCAGTTTACACCGACTCCACGTAGTCTTATCTGCCCTACCCCTAAAGTGCAATTTAAAAGCGCGTAGGCGCGGAGGGGCGAGGCGGGCTAAACTGTACTTCCAGGGATCAAGTGGTGATACATCACACTAGGTTAGGTTAGCGTTGTGACCGTAACGCGCGAGCTGAGCGAGCGAAGCGAGCGTGCCGTGGCAGCGGCAGAGGCCGGCGAAGCTCCAGAAAAAAATAGTTTTTAAAAGCGACCTTTTCTACAAAAAAAAATCAAGTATCACCTATTGGGCCCTGGAAGTACAGTTTTACCGCGAGGCGGCCCTGGAGTCAACAAAATATTTCGTCACACATTTTAACTAATATTGTCAACACGCAGTTTGTAGTTACGAGTATAATTATTAAGCTGTAGTAGGTAGGAAAAAAATATTATAGAACTAACCGCAACACAATTTATCGCCAACAGGCGAATGCATCATTCGATGAAACGTTACTGCAATAAAAAGTTGTTATGTGAAAAAGTATTAATGGGCTTCGATACATATTGTAAAATGTTTTTACGAATAGTTTTATCGATAACGTAATACTTTCACGAAATGTAAGTTCGATATACCGTTTTTCTGGTAATCAAAACAACTTTAAAAGATTTTTTTTAAGAAACGTTTTTCGATGGTATAAAAGGGCGATGATGAAAAATTCGATGAATTAAAAAAAAATGTATTAAAAATCGTGGAATACTTTTTGGTAAAATGAAAATCAATATCATAAAAATCTGTATTCTAATAGACACCCAATTAATCCAAACATTGCTGTGTTACGTTATTATTTTTTAAACGTAAAACATTTTGTTACTGAATATTTTATTTGTATTTAAGCTTTTTTCGTATTAATGAAATTCCTTAAAACTGCAGTAGTCAATGATACTGACTTAATAGAATCTACTTATATGTTATTTCGTATCGATGTTATATTGATATCTTCAGCCAGTCAGTTTAGGAGATACCATAGAATAATAATTTACATAATTATTACAATAAATGTGGAGCCACGACGCCGGTACCTCAGGTCGGTTGAGACACATAACGCTCAACGACACGGTTCAAACAATCCTTTTTTTTTTGAAGTAAGAAATTTATGTTCTACACATTAGTATCGATTCTGGCATGATTATCATAACTTTAAAACTAAAATTCACATAAGTCTCTCCTTTTCATTCTGTATAGAGAATAACTAGGGTACACTGCTGCCAAATTTATTATTTTTGATGTGTAACATCTTTCCTCTCGCTTTCCTGCGATTTGTGCGAGTGATTTCGTGATATGGGACGGAAGTGTGTAACAGGAAGTCGCGAAAGCGCGCGCTATTTGATTTGATTAGAAAATAATGTTCAAATCGCTTATTCCTTTTGTAGTAGGTTTTCTTTCAGATAACGTAAAATTTATAAAAAATACCAAAAGAAAATTGTAACTGTGAACTTTCTGCGATATGACGGTTCTGCTTTTTAATTTTATTGTCTTAATATTATGCCTAAAGTTGTTGTTGTTGTAATATTATGCCTAAAGATGATTCTGGATTATAAAATTATACGTTTGAATGTCTGCGAAATGAATGAATGCTAAATCATTTACTGCGAAATGAAATTTATGCCATCCGCTGATATGCATAATTATATTATGACATTAAAAGTTCTGCGTTACAACACTTACAAGGTAGAGCCTGCAATTTACATAAATAAATGAATGTCACTAAATTTTGTCGAAGATATTTGCGGATATTTTTTAGGCAACCCGTCACTAATGCATTGTATAATCATCATCATCATCATCAGCCTATTAATGTCCCCACTGCTGGGGTACAGGCCTTTCCTATGGATGCAATAGGGAGGTTGGGCCATGACCCACCACGCGGGCCCAGTGCGGATTGGTGGGTGCTAACGACTGCAGATGCAGCCGGGACCAACGGCTTAACGTGCCTTCCGAAGCACGGAGGAGCTCGAGATAGTAATTTTTGGTCACCCATCAAATGACCAACCACTGCGAAAGTTGCTTAAGTTCATCGATCACAGCCAAACGCGCTTACCACTTGCGCCATCGAGCTGCTCACATATAAATAATCACTAATCATTAATTTAATTTAAATTTCGTTAAAAATACATATGGCTGCAGAATCCAGCGGCAGGGTCTTCGACTAGTAAACTCATGCCATAATGTCCTTTGGGGAGTTGGCTGAGGATAATAGGTGCAGCTTGAGAGTTAAAAAAATGAACATCACTCCTATAAGCCCACCTCAATGACCACATTTAGCATTATTGATTTTTATCTGCAAACAAGACATCAGGTTGCTTTAAAAAAAATAACATTAAAACATGAAGTTCAGTGTAAGTGTACTTTGATAATAATTTAATAATAAACGATATCACTAAATATAATCATTTCATTGTAATTAGTTATGGTTCCGCAGTGTTACGGCTCTATTTGTCGAACTCATAGACATGGGGTTATCTTTACAATCGAACTACAAAACATAATTTCAGTCGTGTAAACAAAACACTATCTGATCTTATTTTTCTTTTATTATGAGCGGACGCGAGCTGAGAGACATTTGAGAAATAGGTATTTGAAAAAACTATTGCTGTCACGTATTGACGTGTGTGATTTCTCAAATGTCTCTCAGCTCGCGTCCGCTCATGCAAATACCGAGCGATAGGGACAACAGTAGTTAACGCTGAAAATTGCGTATAAAAATTGCCAAATTCCAGGTTTGGCTCTCGATGATTTCTTCCTCGAAAATTTGATTTGAAATTTTATCCATAGAATAATAAGTAGTTATACCATGCCTCTATGTTTAGCTAGCTCTTTTTGTTAATGATTATTAAATCACCACACTAGACGTCTTAAGTTGTGATAAAAAAGGTATTTTTGAGGGCTTCTAGTTTCTTTGAAACACAAGTTATCGAAAAAGACATAAGAGCATAGGATGAGTCACATTATACTTTATGTATGAAAATCAATTCTTTAGTGATAAAAATCAAGGACGAATTAGTGGAGAACGTTTGTATTAAAAAAACACTGCCCGCCTCCCCTCTTAATACCCCTTATTATGACATGCCGACTAACAAGTTACTATTCGTAATTTTGTGCAATCACCGGATTTTGTCTATGGAAATTCTAATTGTTTGCCACCAAAGTGTCTTGGTCGGAATAATAAACTCTGCTTCCTACGCAATAAATAATTGTGGAAGCTCAGAGCTGATCTAAATAGGCCTTCTTTAGTGAATATTCTGAAGACCTTGACAGTTTGTCATGTATTATGTAAAAAAAGGATGAAAATGTATTGAACTTGATCTTTGTTTTTTTTATTTTAGGTAATGTATTACAATTTTGTGTTCTAAAGAGTAATAAGACTTAAAACGATATTTACGACCAATTTTAGAGATGAGAAAAGTCCGATTAGTAGTAACAAAGTTATAAGTTTGCAAAGAATAAACATCTATCATGAAAAAAGCTTGATTTATCGGTGATTTTAATATAAATTACTAACAATAATGTTACTATATATTTTGGAAGAATAATAAAACTTGAAGTATCTTTAATCTAAAATAGTTAAAGCCTGTCTATATTGTTTTTCGGGACTTGAAGCTTGTTTTCTATAATAAAATTGTCTCGTAAATCTTTTGAACTTTGAACAAAATTCTTTATGGAATATCTTAGCGTCTAGGTAAGATGAAACAACCCATTATTTTACTTTGTTGAAGTTATTCTCGTATAGTAAGTATTTGTTTGTAATATAAATGTTAAAAGTAAAAATTATATTCACGAGAACATTCGACGCTGCAGATTTTTTAATAAAGGACCTCATAAATATGGACTCTTTTAGTTTTGACACGGACGCCAATCATTTGCCAACCATTAGGACGCTGTTGACAAAAATAACGGATTCACTTACGTTTCTTGCCGATTTTTCAGTTCAAAACAACTTATTTATTCTCTTCACTTGTAAAGAAAATGACAAACATAAATTCATTATATCTGTTCTTTCAATCTAGTTACTATCGTTAAACTTATAATGTGAAACGTGAAGGAATATTTATACTGTTCCTAATGTGAAAACCTATTTTTATACATAAACGCTTTTTTTTTTTGTTAAATCGATTTGTTCATGTGTTGACATGAATGTGTGACTACAACATTAGCATTTTCTTTAATTTGCACTAACTTTCGTGTATCTAATATTGTCAATTTATTCACGTTAATGTTTGTTTCTAATAAATAAACGAGAACTTTCTTTATTTCTACATATGATGGGCTAACGATTACATAGTGCAATTATTAAAATCTAAAGCTCCGTAAATATGGAGAATTTTCAGAACCATATACCGCTCTAGATATATAAGGGTATCGTATAGATACTTGGCCACTCGCATGCGTCTGAACTAGTGGGACTTAACCGACTAATCTGACCACACAACGCGTTAAACTAGCGCGTTAAAATCCTTATAGTACCGCAATAACGCACCTGCAGCCCGAATGTTCGCCACGAAAGCCAATAATGGCCGATCTGGCGCGTATCTTGCCATAGCACAAAGCTTCGTGGCGATACAAGCAGGTGCGACCCCAGAATTATAGTATAGCTTACTCTACTAGAAAAATTACATAGTGGAACGAATCGAACATTCTTTCGCTCTTTTTGCTTTTAATGTGGCCCTCGTGTGATTTTCATTTGTTTATTTTTGTGGTGTGTAACGTTTGGCGTGCTGTGTCGTGAAGCAGGTGATATCGTACGACTCGTCGCGCGGTGGCGTGTCGGTGGTGACGGAAAAGGGTGCCGCCACCACCTCGTATCTGCTGGTCCAGGACGCCGCTCCTGCTGACTCCGGCCGCTACTCCTGCTCGCCATCTAATGCCGAGGTGGCATCTGTGAGAGTGCACGTGCTTAACGGTCAGTCATACTTTAGACATGCTTGTCCTATATCTTATCAGACATATAGCGAAGGACTCCGCTACCAGCTCGTACGTGCTGGTGCAGGACCCCGCCCCTGTCGACTCCGGCCGCTACTCCTGCTCGCCATCAAACGCCGAGGTGGCCTTAGTGCGAGAGCACGTGCTCAACGGTCAGTCATACTACCCTTACACTTGTCCTACATCGTACCCTCATACAGAGAAGAACGCCACCACCTCATACTTGCTGGTACAAGACGCCGCGCCTGTCAAATCTGAAAAGCTCCACCACCACTTCGTATCTGATCGTAGATTACACCGCGCCTGCTGACTTCGCGCACTATTCCTGCACGCCTTCCAACGCCGAGGTGCGACTTTCACTCAGATCACCAAACAGAGAAAGAGATTCAGACCACTACGGGAGACTTAAATAACAGATTTTTTTCAATATTATTACTTATTTTCAAAAGAACTCAGAAACAGTACTACTGTAAAAGAACATAGCAACATTTACAAAATGTCAAGTGTCTTATAGGTCTTAAAGTTTTGTTTTCATTGCACAGGCGAGCGGCCAGCGGCAATGCAGACGGGCTCAGCGGGGCTATCGAATAGCTCGCGGTGCATCCTCGCGCTGCTCGTTGTGTGCGCGTTGCACGCCCGCTGGTTGCGCGCGCAGATCGCCAGCTGATCGCACACGCGTCCGCCCCCGCTCCGTTCGTTAATATAGGCGAGCCGTACCACCGCCTGGAAGAGAACCATATAATCACTAACTTTCAACGAAACACTTGTTTATGTTATTTCATTAATGATTAAAGATGACTCATGAAGAAAATTGTGATTAATTTGTATTTTTTATGTTATATGTATATGACGACACTTACAATGAAAAACTGAAAATGTTATATGATTAATAAATGAAGTTTATGTATTAAGATGACGCAGACCCTCAAAAAACGTAATTTTTAATTTATTTTGTTATTTCAAATGTAATTGAAGAACGTAATAGAAGAAATAGAACGTATAGTGCTTTTCAATGGGACATTTAATAACGTACTCTGATTAGACTAAAACTATCCACATCATTTGATCAAAACTTTTTTTATATTTAATGTTCATACAAAAGTCACACATAATTAATTTAATTACTTATCACCCTTGTACTGTCAAAAATATACCTAATACATTTATATTAATTTAAGCTAATTTACATGAATTGAGTAACTGCGATTTTTTTTATCTGTATTTTTTAAAAATGTTTACGTCAATTTCATTGCGGGTAACTTTTCAATGAGAATAATTTTAGCAGTAAATTATTGTTTAAATTGAATTTCCTTTACATTTGTCATCTTTAACTTCAACTAAACTTTCAAACCATTCTGATTTATGTAAAATACTAAATGTATACATTAAGTGTGTCTTTTAGTTCTCTTCCTACGGCGAAAACTGTGTTCGCGTGATTCGGACAATACTAAATTGTGCAATATCGAAGTGCGTTTTAACAAGTGACTATCAAGCGTAGAGCGATTATATATAAATCTAAATAAATGTTATGAAATTTCTCGTCTAAATAAAATTTTAAGCGAAAACTTAGTTTTCAGCTACTTAATAATTAAATGAAATAATTTAAAGAACCTAGATTACAAAATAAGTAAGGTTTTTATTATACAGCGAGTGCGATGAATGTCGAATTACAAATCGAATCGAATCGTCGAATGAACGCGCGTGTGTCACTTCCCTTAAGACATTTTATTTAGATACTTTGACTAAGTGTATTTCATTCCTTTCACATTTATCATCGCTATAGTAATATAATTTATGTAACATATTTATTCTCTTAGTCAAATATTTTTATCCTATGTTTTTAACCGACTTCAAAAAAGGAGGAGGTTCTGTGTTCGACTGTATATTTTTTTATTTAATAATTAAATGAAATAATTTAAAGAACCTAGATTACAAAATAAGTAAGGTTTTTATTATACAGCGAGTGCGATGAATGTCGAATTACAAATCGAATCGAATCGTCGAATGAACGCGCGTGTGTCACTTCCCTTAAGACATTTTATTTAGATACTTTGACTAAGTGTATTTCATTCCTTTCACATTTATCATCGCTATAGTAATATAATTTATGTAACATATTTATTCTCTTAGTCAAATATTTTTATCCTATGTTTTTAACCGACTTCAAAAAAGGAGGAGGTTCTGTGTTCGACTGTATATTTTTTTATTTAATAAGTGTCAAAATTTAGCTATATACAATACATGTAACCTAGATATTATTTATGTATTTGTTCTGTACCATAATACATAATAAAATAATACAAAATGTAAAATAAAATTGCAATTATATATACAACATTCACAAAAGATGATATTCCTTATTTGCGATGTAAATAAAACTAAAAAAAAAATGTTAATTGACTTTTGGAAATAATTAGCACACATTCATACCACCTACAAATTGAAACAGTCATAGCAATAAATGCAGAACTTAAAGGAATTCCCATTTCTTATTTGTGATGGTGTTAAGTCTGTTAGAAAAATAGCTTTACACTTTAGTACATTAGAGATCACGTCGGTGTATACAAGCTGATATTGACACCGCATTTATTTCATAACAATGAAAGCGCTATTCCTAATGTCTATTTCTATAGTGCAATACAACTAATCGTAAAATAAATATAGTTTGTTGACATAGTACTAAAGAGTTGAGCTATTCTTAGCATCATAAAAAGTTCTTAAATGATTATGAGTTATTTTTGTGCCGGCACTTCACATGGATATTCGTGTTTGCTTTTTGTCATTTTGACAGCAAAATCTCTTTATATTCTTTAAGGAATCAAAAGGAGAATCTGTTATCAAATTAACAAATAGCGAATACAAATAGCCATGTGAAGTGCCGACATCACTAGTACCAATAGACAAATTCAGCAATAAGGCTGGTGTGCAATAAAGCGTCTATTTATTAATTTTGTTTATTCATTTATATTGCTTAGTTAAATATTGCTTGATACGTTATTTCATACTTATCATACAGTATGTATCTTCAAGAAATACGAATTAGAGTACTTTTTACAAAAGAAGTCGCCTATAAGGCGCTAATATTGACCTTAAGAATCTTAGAATCCTTTCTCGGACAGCGTTTGCGACAACTTTATTTCGGCAATATATATAGGGTATTAATTTATTTATAATCACATAAAAAATATTAAAAATTACGAAACTTTCAATGATAATAATAATAAATAAATATAAAAATAATTTTACCAGAAAAAAAACCACTCGCTACCTGCATTCATCCAGGATTCAGCCTAAAACCTGGACCGAACGGAGATATTTCTAGTAAAAAATATCTAGAAATCAATTCCATTCTTTCTTCTGTTAAAAGAACTCTAACACATAACGCACTACCGTTTATTTAGTAAATAGATCATGGAAATTCCTAACAAAAACATGGAAGGAATTTCTTATAAGAAATCTTGTGTACTTACTATTCATGTGTTAAACTATTCGGAAACTGTACATAGATAGATATATTAATATAAATGTTTTATGAAAAAGAAAATTTATAAGGTACCTATAGTAATAAATATTTTAATGTCGTTAGAATGGTCTGTTGTACGAATGTTGACTGTGAAGGCATATTAAGCGCTTTACACACGAACAATTTTTTTTTCATCAATTTCAATTTAATTTGAATATTGTAATAAAATTTCGACTAGACATTTTTTATTGTAGTAATCAGCAAGAATTCAGATTTTTGTAGAAAATATCATTTAATTGAAATTTTAATGCAATGTTTATAATAAATAATTTTAACTGGTAGCACATGTCAATAACACTGCCAATAATTTTAGTACACGACAGTTATTCCTGAATTATTATTTTTCTTAGATATTTTAGAAAAATCAAATATAACACTGAGTTAAGCGCTTAATACTGAGCCTGATAATATATTTTACGTTCGTTACCCATTAAGTATATAGTATAAAAATATCTATTTGTTTGTAAGTTTCAATAGGACAAATCGAAAATAAGTGAACAAATTATATTGAAGCACAACTAATTTTCGAATTCTTGGAGAAAATGGACACAATTTATCCTGCAAATATATAAGTGCTTCATTCACTTATTGGTCCCGAGTGTTGTTTACAGAAAATTTGTTACCAAAACAAATCTATAAGATGTCTAATACAAATTGTAACAAAGATATAAATTGGTATAATAATAATTACAAAACGTTTCTAATTACACCGTCTGCTTTGTTCGCGTAACGAGATAATATTTCATCCCCCACCTTAAGTGGATCGGATATCTCTTCCCGTTAAATAGACCGCACGGACTCCAATCATAAGGATCGGTTCACAATAGGTGCACATAAAACGTACTATCATGCTCCGTAGGCAGTTTCTGTGCGAATATTGGTTTATTCCACTTTGTTGACCCAGGTGAACCTGTAGGATAAACATTTTTAAGTTAAAATTATTCATACTGCCTATTGGAATACGTAACAACGAATGTGCGCTTTTGCAAAAATCTGTTGACCCGGGTAGACAATTAAAATGCAATAACTTATACTGGTGATGTCACCCATGGTCCCGGTTATAATTACTAACATTAAGTTTACTTTAAAAAGCATTATGAAACTAATTGTTTTTATTTAAAGAAACCTTATTTTATATTGTCTCGTAGATAAACGAAAATAGTAATTTGGACATCGAAAAGTATTCAAATAATACTTTTTGCCAACTTCTACATGCCACATTCACGAGTGTAGATGCACCTTAACAATATTTTGCTAAATCACTCCGGGACATATTTCATGAGCTTAATAGAGTTTTTACGCAGGCAAATTGTTGCAGAACTATGTTACTTTATATTATCAATTCGATATTCAAGTGATTCAAGGAAGATTGTAAACTAAACCTAGGTGAGTTGATTGTCAGAAGACAATCCTTACAATAATTTATAATTTAGAGATCTTGAAATTTTTACGTTGGAATGACTTAATTGTTTTCAATAACGAATTGATGATTATATTAACGTAACCATTAAGCATATAATATGAACGTAACGTAAACGGTAAAAGTGGTTTCCCCAAACAGACAGCAATTATTCACAATTGAAATTGTAACCGCATCACAATATTTGAATCTTCTTTACAACACATGTGTAGTATTGTGTAGTCTTTGAAGGTGATAATGTACCCATTCCCAAAAAATTTCAATGTTTTTATCATTCATCAATGTTTTTTCCATGAATAATATTTTTCTTATGGTAAACCTGATAGTTACTGCCAGACACATGGGCTGCTTTCTTTTATTTTGTACA